TGAATGTAAAGTTTTGATCGCCTTCAAAATACATGCAACTTAAGTAGTATGCATTGTTTCTATTGATTTGCGATGCCCCTATAAAATCAAATATATTGTATAGAAAACAGGAAAAAGAACATCCGTTCGTGTGGTCACGGGGTAGCAAGTCATTTCTTCGTACTAACGTATATTCGGAAAAGGAGCATGCCTAATAAAGCTATTTCTAATTCCAGAATACTTTTGCCCAAATCTACCGTTGCAGATGCATTAAATGCTTTCACTGAACAAACTGTAGATGGTGCGTGTAAGAAAAAGCATATCAGTTTGACAGTGTATGTGAACAAATTGTAAACTTCATGAACAGATTTAATAAAAGCTCAGATAAGTTGTTATTTGAATGAACATTAGGCGGTCTTCAAAAGGTAAACGATCGGGATAACTTTTAAAACCCGATAGATTCCCCTTCCTCGAGTCTTACTATCTAAGAAGATCAGATCGGCGTATAAGTGGGAATACGACTGAATATGAACGGAAGCAAATATGCGTGCCCCAGGTTCTGGTTGTAAAGAAGTAGTATAAGAAGCAATCTCTGGAACGGCAATTTCATTCTTCTGAGCTTTCGGCTCCATATGAGAAACTATCGCCATCAGTTCCTCTGATGCTGGCCTCTCGTGTGGAACCGAAATCTCAGAAGAATAAAATTTCCGTTTCAGCGATTGCTTCTTCTGCTTTACGACTGAATACTTTTGTTTATATTTATCATTATACATATTTTTAAAAGATTTTCACAAATCACTACAAAAATGCATACGACTTAAGTAGTCATTTTACCGAGTGAGGTTCTTGCATGCGATCAATAGGCGACACATTAAAAAGTACGCATAGTTTCGGAATCAGCCACAGAATAGTCCGTAGTACATCCACACTCAGGTAATAATTTTTAATTAAAAGCGCTTTACGGTCAACAGTTCATGAAATCGAGCATTGCCTCTAAGTATGATTACTACAAGACTATCTGCTTAGAGAAAAAATATGTTCTTTTCGATATAAAGATAATTTTAATCAGTGAATTTTTGAGACTGGTTCCCCAGCTCGTCATCGCACTAACAAGAAACGTGCAAAGAATGACTTAAATTTCAAAAGTAAGGAAAAAAGTCAATAGTTGTATGGTGTGAGACCTGATTGGTGGTTGTGGATTCTGTCAGCCTGTGTTCTGCGGCCTTCGTCTCTTCCGTCGTTCTTCGAGGTGTTTATAGATACCATTTAACTCTATGTGGCGGTTGATACAAGAATCATCGGAGTGCATGGCCTCAAGAAATTCTCGGCCTTTTTTGGAGTTTGCCGCCCCCCAGAAAAGGCCGAAAATTTATTGAGGCCATGCATCCCGACGATTCCTACACCAGTTGCTATATAGAGATTGATTAAATTTATAAACACCTCAAAGAACGGTTGAAGAAACGAAGGCCGCACAAAAGAGACTGACAGAGACCACAAATACCAATCATGTCTCATAACACATGGCTATTAATGTTTTCCGCAAATTTAAAATGGTAGTTGATTTTTTCATATTTCTCGTTAGTACGACGATGAGCTGGAGAACTGGCCACGAGAATTCACTTATTAAATTTACCGTTTTATCGCACAGCACATCTTTTTCTTCGAACGCTTTCTATTTACTGGCCGTTTGCCTCGTGCCCCCTCGATGGACATTGTGGGAGATGTGCTGGACTAACATGGAGGCTAGATCAGGAAGGGCACGTCGGGCTTATATCCTAAACAACTTTTTTTCTCTTCAAATTAAAATTTATTGAGATACGTGTTTTCCAGTGTATATGAACGAATATATGTGCCATCGGAATTTCTGTATTTCTTTACACAGCTACCATTCGTATAACACCATGCCATCCACTAGTAAACAAATTCCATATCCAATACATGCTTCCGAGTAACTTGAGAAATTTCTTGAATATGCACCACCTACTGTAGGTGAGAGATGCATAATGACCATGCCAGGGAGATCTCTTACAGACCAATTCTCTCTGTCTTGATTAGGGCCGGGCTTGCAAGTCTGCTGCAAACCTTCAAATAGTGACCTTTCGCATTTTGTGATCATAGTACTTTTAGTATACTGTGGGCTGTGTGCCAAATGTCGGGGAATGTGCATTCCAAAGTGATCGTGTAACAATGCAAGTAAAACACGACAAAACTTTACCAGTGATCCACTGATAACTGCTGATTTGGCGATCACTGTGGAAGCCTATTTGAGTTATTACTTTCCATGTCATAAGTTAAAAATTTTGCCTTAAATTATGCGAACTGCAAATAGGTGTTGAATTACTTTTTGTTGGGAAAAGCTGGATATAAATATAATATGTGGTAATCGCATTTTCTGTTGATTTCTGATTTTGACATGCATTGGGTCCTCTGGGGTTATACAGAAAGCGTTGTTGATGGACTGTGGGCCTGAGAACCGTGACTCGAGCAGCTCGCGTCTCACGCGGTTATCACCTCTTGCATTGAGACGCATTGCAGGGAAGTGGAGGACAAGGCTGCTGAATTAAAATATATTCGACGGGTATGGAGAACGAATGGTTACGCACGCAGTTTTGTTAACTAGTGCAGATGCAGACGGGAGAAGAAAACATATCCAACTGGTTCACAAGTTTGGCGAGTGAAAAATGTATCGGCAGCAGTCAGCCGCTGGTCAACCGACCTGGAGTTGGAGTTATGCACAGGCCAGAAGCCACCATCAAGCGCCGTGTCATGAGACCGAAAGACCCACTGTCACAGCACGAAACGGCTGGAGTCGTTCGCCAGATCTGATGCAGTTGTGAACAAAGCAACTACGTCGGAGAAACAGGGAGACTACTCCGGACGCGAATGACCAAGCACGCAGCGGCGGCGAGGAAGAAGGACACTAACTCCCACGTTGCAGCTCACTCGACGGGAGCCAGACATATATTCAAGTTTGAGGAGGCCGAAATCCTCGCAAGAGGTGACAACCGCGTAAGCCGCGAGCTGCTGGAGTCGTGATTCTCAGGCCCACAGTCAATCAACAAGAGCAACGATTTGGCGTTTCTATACTGTCTCAAAAGGAAAGTCAGTCACGTGGGAAGGCCGGGCCCAGCAACAACTCTGACGACAGCGAGCATAATTGTCGCAAAATTATCAGGCCCGCATCCGACACGGACAAGGAGATCGCGGCAATTAATGAGTCGAACGCGAAGTGTCAGGCCATCATCGCGCCAATTAAGAGCCCAAGCGGTGATAACAGCAGCTGGTGATTATAGTACGCACGCGGATGACCGCTA